AGCTCTACTTTACCACATACAAAGCAGCAAGTAAAATCACAATTCTCGGTAGTCGCGTGCAAAACCCTCTAGTGTACAACAGGCAAAGAACTTACTTTCCTCCTGCTCCTCCGGCCTCCTGCAAACAATTACATATTGACCATCCTACAGACCATTCTGCATCCACGGCACACTTAAGTATCTGTGTGCGCTATTATGAACATGTCAACTGACAAACTGTAAGGATGCTAATCTTTTTAGGTTGTTAATGATCTGATCATGGGCTCAGTACATGCCTAAACCTCTGCTTTTAAGAACCATCACATCCTCAAACGTCAGAGCAAGAGAGGAAGAGGCAGACCAAAGACAAGCAGAGAAAAACAGAAGGGGGGAACACAGCAGCATCACTTTGTGGCCAAGGGCAAGTTCATAAAGTCTCAAAACACAAGCCAGTTTCCATAAAAGCCATCAGTAGATTTGGCAAAGCCATTCAGCTGTACTTCAGACTCTTGAGGAGTAACTGCAGAAGTCAGTGGAAAGGAGCTCTTGGGAGCCCAACGGAAAAGTCAATTAGACATAAATAGATGAGAATGCCAAGTCTCAAAACCGGAGTTGAGCTCAGTGTCAAGGAATGCAGGGAATGCAGATAGAGAATGACAAATCACAGGCACTGGTGAACCAAATGGCGAGAGAAGAAATGACTACCAGCTACACCTGCTCACACAGTCTCGCTCTCAGAGGATGCCATTTCAATAGCAGCGGCAGTTGAAAAGGCATATGAAAGCTCTTAGATTGCCTTTCTCTACAGCCCTGTCTACAAGCCAAAACTAATTTTAATCTGTCTTAATGTACTAGGCAGTTCAGAAGGAAATCTATGTCCCTTTTAACCGCTCTTCCACGAGGGTAATAGCCTTCAGGATGGGAGTGGGGCACACGGCCTTGGAAAGCTTCCGCTGTTCTAACACACTCCCCCATTCCCCGCCAGCTGAATCTGAACACGTGCTAACATTATATGAACAAGATGAAGTCCTTCAAGGTTGAAATTGCTTACAGTGAAAGGAACTAAGGAAGAACACGTACCTATACTTGGCACCTTCATCTTGATCCATCTGTGTTTGTACCTGAGCAAACCAGGAGAAGAACTAGAAGAGATTTTATGGTGTGAACAACACAGATATCACATGCAGTCAATTTAAAAAAAAAAAAAAAAAAAGCAGATCTATGAAATGAAGATGAGCTTTTGTTAAAAACAGAGCTGTTTCAGAACTTTATTATTAATCAAGGAAACAAACTATTAACTCCTCATTAGGTCCCTTCCAACTGAAATATTCTATTCTGTTCCTCCACCAAATTAAAATGGGAAAGACTGAATTTCATGTCTTTTTATTTGCACAAGAACAAGCCTGTCACATTAGAAAGGTGGGGAGCGGGCATGGCATTCTTCTATATGATGAGCAACACCACCTTACTGAAGGTGGGAAAAGTCTTGAAATGGGAAAAGCATCTGTCACTTAAGGGCTAAGACTTCGACGATTCCCCCTCCCCCCCGCAAGTTTCTTCATGCATCTTGAAAAAAGGCCAAAAAAATTTAACAAACCCACCAAAAGCTAGGCAAGAGGCACAGAAACTCACAGAATTATCTGAAGAAGATCACTGCAACTTGGAAGTTACTTTCAGCATCACTTACCTGCTGTGCTGTTTCAATTCTTTCATCCTCCATCCCCAGTATGGCAAATCCTTTCAAGAGGACATCCTCTGTGGATTCTGGCACTGCGGCGGCCGTCAGCGTAACAGTTAGCGACTGGGATGTGAGGCTGCACAAATCTTCAATTGGAAGCTGCTCACAAAAGCCCACAAAATATAGTTAGCGAACTTACCAAGAATAAGTGTATTCAGCTCAACTACAATGACACAATCCAAAGCATCAACTTGAGAAAATTACAGGCATCTAGTTTTGAAGAAACAAATGCAATGGACATTTTATCTACCAATATGGTAATACGCCAACAACTACCAGACCTATATATCCAGAAACACCTAATTTTTTTTTTAAGTCAGAAAACATTATATAGCATCTTATGTAAGTACACGTTTGTCTAAGAACAGAAACTGAATGTACATGTGCCTGACATCGTGATGAGCTATACTTTGATTTCCAATTTAACTGGTTCTATACCCAGAGAAATGCACTAGAAAAGTACCTGAGAACATAAGAATTCAGAACGCATTCAGAAGCAAAAATAAATGCCACTACTGTCTACACTACACGGCAATACCACCGCACAGGAATTGTCAGGTTTTTTTGCCAGAAACTGAGAGAAAATTCAAGACTGAGCACTGCCAGAATTTATTCAGGAAATAGTGTCACATATTCTTTCAAATGCCTTTTACTGAAGAAGCCAAGCTAAAAAGAAAGGCTTTTTTAGAAGACAAGGAATAGCTCTGCTGAATGCGAATTATTGGCCACAATGATTTTTTTTAAGCAAGAAAAATATGGAAAAAAGTAACTTGAAAGAAATTGTATTTAGGGACGATTGGAGACTATTAATTAGCTTATATGGAAGAAATTAATTCAAGGAAACAAATATCATTATATACTCTTAACGAATGCAATACCCTTTTTAATTCACTTGGCAAGTAAAGTATGCTTTCTATTGCTGAGAACATCAGTAACATAAAACCAGAAAACACTACTTAAACAGAAGTTGGTATCTCTCTAGAAAATTACTCGCTTAGTAAAATATCCATTGCCTGGTAACATTAGTCCAGCAAAGACAGAACAATCAGGATTTCAACCATTTGAGAAAAGACAGATTGACCTATCTTGTTCAACTTCCACTTGTCTCCCGCACCCCTCCTGCCATCCGAAACAGGCAGGACCCAAGCTGGGGAGCCCGGGTTTCTCTCCTGAGGAAAAGACGAGTCCATCAGCACCCGCTTTTTTGGAAAAGACAAGATGCCACTGTCCCAATCCACTTCAGCGGGAGCCTAGACCAGCTGAAGTACTCAACGTCTCGGCATCCCTGTTGTCCTGACTGGCAAATCTGGTACCTGCCTTGCTGCAGAGCTGTCTGAAGATCCTTAAGGGCACCCGCGGGCAGCAGCACATCCTTCTACAATCCTCTGGGATGCCTGCCAGGATTTACTTTAGTAGGGTTGCACACAGCTGACACCAGAAAGAAACCAGGGAGCGTGACGTGAAGCAGGTGCATTTCAGGAAGGGATTGCCTTGCCCCCTCCCCTTGGTTATTTTGAGCTTTCGGACACCCGCTGAGCGCCAGCTTTGTGGATTTTGTGGCACTGTGCCGTGATCCTCGTCAAATACAAAACCTCCCCTGGAGAGCGCAGGTAAGGAACGCAAACGTTTCGCTCCTTCCCTGTGCGGACAGGGGAGCGTTCGTAAAGAACCACCTTGCCGGAGTTTTGCCATTTTATAAGTGAGCGGGAGACCACCCCTTCCACGCTAACGACACGTTATTGTCAAAAAAAAAAAAAAAAACCAAACGTAAAAACACCCCAAAACGGGGGAGGGGGGGGGCCCGGGCGGGCTTTTAGCCGGTCGGGCCGGGCCGAGCCGCCAGGCGACGTGGCAGCCCGGCGCCTTCCTCCCTCCC